TTAAAAAAAAACCTTCACTTTCCATTTGCAACTATGTGGATGGAACTAGAGGGTATCATGCTAGGCGAAATTAGTCAGAGAAAGACAAATATCATATGACTTCACTCAGATGAGGACTTTATGACGCAGAACAGATGAACACAGGGAAAGGGAAGCAAAAAATATATAAAAACAGGGAGAGGGACAAAAACATAAGAGACTCTTAAATATGGAGACAAACAGAGGGTTAATGGAGGGGTTGTGGGAGAGGGATAGGCTAAATGGGTAAGAGGCATTAAGGAATCTGCTCCTGAAATCATTGTTGCACCATATGCTAACTAACTTGGATGTAATTTTTTTTAAGAAAGAAAGAAAGAAAGAAAGGAAGAAGGAAAGAAAGAAAGAAAGAAAAAGAAAAAAAAGAAGAGTAACTTTGGAGAGAATGGGATATAAATATCCTATTAACAGCAAGAACAAAACATTGGGAATTAACTTAATAAAAATATATAAAATCTATATGAAGAAAACTATAAAAGGATGTTAAAATATACTTAAAATTAAAAGTAGATTTTTTTTAGGAAATGAAAAAAAAGCTACCATATTTATGAATGAGAAGCCTAAATATTTTTAAACGTGTTTTCTTCATGAAATATTTGTCAATTTCTTCTCATTCCAAATATTTGTCAATTCCTTTTCTTTTTTTTAAATTTTTTTTTTTTAACGTTTATTTATTTTTGGGACAGAGAGAGACAGGGCATGAACGGGGGAGGGGCAGAGAGAGAGGGAGACACAGAATCGGAAACAGGCTCTAGGCTCTGAGCCATCAGCCCAGAGCCTGATGCGGGGCTCGAACTCACGGACCGCGAGATCGTGACCTGGCTGAAGTCGGACGCTTAACCGACTGCGCCACCCAGGCGCCCCTGTCAATTCCTTTTCATTCCAAATACTTATCAATTTCTTTTCATTCCACTAAAAATGTCATTTTGGTAAAACAAAACAAAACAAAACACAAAACCCCTTGACTTTTAAAAAATGTATTATTTGGTAGCTCTGAATATGAGATTTTCTTCCATGCCCAACATGTGTTGTTGTTGCCCTTTGTTTAGTCACCTTCCTGAACTAATCCTGTGAAGTCTGTACTCTGTGAGGCAGTTAGCTCAGCTGTCACCTGACGGTTGGCTGGTCAGAATGTTTCCTAGATGCCATGAACCAGTTTGCCTCCCAGCCTTTGCTGACGTGGTCTGTGTGCGTGGCAGGACATACTGTCACCCCTCAGACGGAGAGTTTACAAGTCAACCTTAGTCTTCACTCATCACCTGCACGGAGCTTCAAGGTTGGCCAACCATGAAAGCGTAGGGCCTTCTCACGCCCTTCCCTGGTGTATTAGTTTCCTACTGCTACTGTAACAGCTCACCACGAATCACTTTCACACAACCTCCCTGGCTTAACACAAATTTATTCTCCTCCATTTCTGGAGGCAAGTGTATATTAAGGTGTGGACAAGTTTGTGTTCCTCCTGGAAGGCTTCAGAGGAAAATCTACTTCCATGCTTCCTATAGGTTCTTAAAAGCTACCTTCAGCCTTGGCTCATGCCACTTTCTCACGTCACTTCTTCCTCTTGCTTCCACTGTCACATCTCCTACTGCTGGCTCTGGTCCTTCTACATTCCTGTTATGAGGACCCTGGTGAACACATTAGGCTCAACCATTTAATCCAGGATAATCTCCCCATTTTAAAATCAGTAATTCAATCACATCTGCCAAGTCCCTTTTACCATGTAAGGTCACGTAGTCACAAGTACTGGAGATTAGAATGTGAATGTCCTTGGAGAGCCAAGATTCAGCCTACCACACCTGAACACGGACATTACCCTATGCATGTGTGTGATTTTCTCTTCTTTTTTTTCTTAAGATTTTTTTTAACGTTTATTTATTTTTGAGAGAAAGAGAAAAAGAGGGCGAGCAAAGGGAGGGGTAAAGAGAGAGGGAGACACAGAATCCTAAGCAGGCTCCAGGCTCTGAGCTGTCAGCACAGAGCCCGATGTGGGGCTCAAACTCATAAACCACAAGATCATGACCTCAGCTGAAGTCAGACACTTAACCAACTGAGCCACTCAGGTGCTCCTTTTTAAGGTTTTGTTGTTTTTTTTTTT